CTGCAGCAGCTGGGCGGCCGCCGCCACCGCCGGCCCGGCATCGGCCCTCGCTCGGCGAGGGGACAAGGCCCACACAGGGCCCCCAAGATCGCTCCGGCGCTGCGGGGCACCCGGCGGCCTCCTCCTGCCTCTCGCCCCAGACAGGACCAGAAAAGCAAAATTAAGCTCTGAGATTCTGTCAGCCCCCGACTGATGTCAGGCGTAAATTAAGGCAGAATCCTGCTACAAGCGAGTGCAAATCTCCTGGGTGCCTTTGAGCAAGAAAAGTCTGAAACATCAGCAAAGGCTACAAGGATCCGTCTGGAGTAGCTGGACCTGGCCAGTAGAACAGGCCAGGAACAGGGCCAACCGCACCACTTTCTGCTACTCTTTCTCCTTTGCTTTGCCTTCTATGTGCCAATAATACTAATTGTGCAGACAGGTCCCAGGCCGATGTAAATCACACCACATCATCGTAATATCCCCTCACATCTTCTCTCTCTAACGCTGCAGCCGCAGACCGCTGTCTGCCATTCCCAAGCAGATGTCAGGCCACTTCAAATAGGCATTTATTTCTTCTCCACTGTTTTTGGGGTAACAAATTGATGACGGACAAATAATTATTGCCTCTGCAATCAAAGAGTAGGCATAGGTTATGAGCGAGTAACTGCTGCACTGGAGTGTGGCCAGAGGCGAGACCAGGAGAGAAGGTTTTCTCTCTCGTGATCCTTCTTTGGTAACAAGATGTAAGTGCTATTGCCTCTCACGGCTTTGTTCACACAAACAGCAGGCAGGATACAGTCCTGTGGGCTTTAGAAAAAGGAAGTAAGGCTAGAGAGGACAATTACTCAGTTAGAAAATATTTATTCCTCTGTACCTGTATTGATTACCTTTAGGTATGAATAGCAATGGCGTTCTTATCCTCCAAATATTTGTTCCAGTCAATAACAAAATTAATTTGTATAACAAGAAATCCACAGCTATCCAAGAGGGAAATGAGCTCAGTATATAACAGAGGGGAAAGTTTTGGCAAAAGGGAGAGTGTAGAAAGAAGCCTGCTTATAAGAATTATTGATAAAAGAATTATATGTTTATAGAATCCAATTCTGTATCTGGAAGCATTTTATACACTCAGACCTCAGTGATAACTGCAACTATTTCAATAATTGCTGTTTGCTGAAGAAAATTGATTTTAAAATCTCCCTGATTAATTTACAAATTACCATTATTTTTTGCACTAAAGTAGCACTCCAGAGTCTGTAGCACAGATTAGGGCTCCTCTGGGGTAGGTGCTATGTAAACTCATAATACAGGAGTATTGTCCCTTTGAATGATCACCCAGGAACTGGCTTTCTAAACCACACAGCTCAGCGAGATCCATGGGTATGTATTTGTGCATGTGGTACTGAATGACTGCACTAAAACCAATACCTGAGATAAAAGCATTTATTTATTGGAGCCTACACAGGCTCTCAGGCACTGAAAGTTGCCTTCAAAAAGCCAGCATCAACACATAAAAGTCTCTAACTCAGTCAAAACCCAAATCCAGCTGGTGTTGCCACCACCATGGACTCTGAAATCCTTAGAGGTTCAGAGGAGGTGGAGTAACAATGGAGCACCATTCAGAGGCACTTTTGGCTTCTGCCTGAGCCAACCCAAAGCTGAGGGCAAAGAGGACAGGAGGTTTGCAGAGGTACGATAGATAGGATGCAAACACCTTACCTCACTGAATTTGAGAAACAGGCTTGCATGGCAAATGCTTGTTCCAGTTCTGCTCAGGAGGTGCAGTGAACAGGACCCGTCCCTCCACGTGGGGAAGATTTGCTGGGTGATGTTTTAGCCTCAGTGCTGGGGCTGTAGGGAGGAGGAAGAACTAAAGGGCAAATGGCCCAAGGGATACAAGGAAAAATGCACTGGGGCACTCGCAGACCAAAAAAATGGCCACCATATATGTAAATAGGCAAGTTAGACAAGAAAGTGGTAGGAAAAAAGCATTATTCTCCTTATGCTATGGTATATGGTGAACTGCCAATATGGGAAAACAAGACTTTAAGAACCAGTATTACCCAGGAAATGTGTGTCAGGAGCAGGAAATTACCCCTGTTGCAGTGTCCAAATGACAAGGTTTACCTTCATCTTAGGTTCATTAACGTCTCAGTGTGAACCAATGGGCAAAATGAATGAAACTGCATGTCAAGGTCAAGTGATGCTTTGCCATAGACTGTACCCACAGGGGAGAGCAAGTGAGTGTTTTGAGCAATGCAAAGCACAAAGTAGAAAGAAGCGACATGGGGGGACAAAGGCCTGTGCTGAGCCAATGCACAAGTTGAAACTTCAGGGACACATGGGTTCTGGACCACCAACCTGGAGGTGAACTTTATCCCCCACATACACAACCACAGCAGAAGCTGGAGAATACACTCAAAGAACACACAAAAAAGACAAGGAAGGTAGCCATGATCTGAATGCACCAGGATATCTGCATTGCTTGTCTGTCCATCTCCAAAACATGTGAAGGGCAAGTCTGGAGTGAAACAGATGGGCAACCATGGCAAAAGCTACTCTTGACTCTGATCCAAAGCCCACAGCAATCAAGGGAAATCCTCCTCTACAGCAAACCTTATGCAGTACCCACAGCTGCAGTGAAGATGGTCACAAGGGAATATCGAAGACACATGGAGGAAAGGGTGTCTTACTTAACAGCACCCTGACAAGCATTTAATCATGAAAAACAATTGATAGCATCCTTCTCTCTGCTGGATGCAGTAAAACAATTTAATGGCCAAATACCCAGTCATAATGTTACCAGCTTTCACAATATATGGTGATGATTTTTTTTCAAGTTTCAGCTTCTGGAAGCATTCTGTGATGATGTGAAAAGCCTAGTTTTACTCTGGTTTTGTTTTCATTTTTACTTTAGTTTCTGTTCTCCATATAGCTGTAGAGAAAAGCTCAAAAGCCATGAACGCTGAAGGGTCAAACTCAAATCAAATGTGTAATATAGGTCAAACTCAAATCAAATGTATAATATATCCATATATATATATATAAAATTATAACCCCACTTCATGGTTTGACATGGGATTTTTTAGAACCTAAGGACAGACTTGGCAATACTGTGATCATCAATGGCCAGGCATGGCCTTTGGGGAAGAAAAACATGGGGGTCACATCACTGAACACTAAGGTACCACTAGTCACCAAAGTGACAGTGCCAAATTCTTGGCTGCTCAAAACTGGCATGGTTCCATTGAGTTACATAAAGTAGCAGCTGGGTCATAAACTAAAATCTGAAATCGGGGAAAATACAAAATTCTGGGAATACAGACATTTCAGCTTGCTTCACACCCCCCATCTTTTATTAAACTTTTTCTTTTTCTTTTTCTTTTGGCATTTGCATGGAAAACATGCCAGTACGTCTTTTACAGCACTCTGAGGAAGAAAATTCAAGCTGCTCTGCCTGATATTAAAAGATGTGGCATTTGGTAATATTTGGATGCAATCCAATTGCTAAA